AAAGAACAGGTTAGCAAAGTAAATAGGGTGATAACATTCACCTTAGAATACTCAAGGGATTAGCTAAAGCTGTTTCTGAACCCTTGCCTATAGAGGAAATCCCAGAGGCCTAGAGAAGGGCCAATGTAATATTTAAGGGGAAAAAGGAGGATGTGGGGAATTGTAGACCTAGAAAAATACCTGACAACCAGAAAAATACTGGGACAAATTCTGAAACAACTGATAAGCAGCTAGGGAATACTGAAGTGATAAAAAACAGCTAACATGGAATCATCAAGAACAAATTACTAGGGGTGTGTGAAGCAGGCCCTATTTGATTCAGATTCAGATCTGACCTGAATCGGGGACAGCGATTCGATTCGTTGATTTGGATCACTATCCCCGATTCAATTCAGCCGAATCTGAATCTGAAGATTCGATGATGATTTGGAGAATCAGCGATTCAGACATAGACACAGCTTTAAATGTTTTTTCTACATAACTCGAGGTACCAGCGCGGCTCATGAATGCTGTGATGCTGGGGCAGATGGAGCGTCCCACAGGAGTGCACAGGGGCAGGGGCAGCATGCTCTCCGGTAAACTCAGAAGTGAACCGGAAGTACTTCCGGTCCACTTGTGGGTCTGCCAAAGAGCACACGGGTGGCCCCCTGTGCCCCCCCCTCCCCCCGGCTCAGTGATCAGCTGCAGAGGGACTCTGGGGTGCCCCCCCAGACCCAGGAGGCACCAGTCGCTGAGCCGGGGGGATGGGGCGGGGGCACCACGTGCTCTCTGGTGGACCTGGAAGTGGACTGGAAGTGCTTCTGGTCCACTTCTGGGTCTGCTGCTGAGTGTGCTGGGGAGCCCCCTGCACTTCTGTGGGATGTGCCATGCACCCCAGCATCGCAGCATTCACAAGCCATCTGCTACCTAGAAGTACGTAGAAAAAACATTTAAAGCTGTGCTTATGTCTGAATTGCCAAATCTTCCTGACTCGATTCAGAGCATTCTGATTCAATTTGGAGAGATTAAAGGGTCCTCTGATTTGATTCGGATTTGGAGATTCAGCCACCAAATCGGGCTGAATCTCCGCTGAATCGAATTAGGGACTGAAGCTTCACACAGTCCTACAAATTATGTCAAAACAATCTAAATTCTTTCATTGACCAGATAACTGTCAAAGGGGAAAAGCATAATATAACTTGAGTTTAGTTAGGCTTTTGACACCATCTCATATGACAGTCTAATAAGTAAATTAGGAAAATATATCCTAGATAGAATTACCATAAAGTGAGTGCCTAACTTGTTGAAAACCTGTACTCTACCAGTTGTCAATGGTTTGGTATCCGACTAGGAAAGATGTGCGCAAGCTGAAAAGATTGCAGACGATACGAGGCGAGAAAACGAGACCTAGGAGTTAAAGTTCAAGGAAATGAGCATGTTCTGTCTAGAAAAGAGAAGACAAAGTGGAAGGAAATTATATCAGTCTTCTAATATGTAGAAGGGTGTTAGAGAAACTGATGATCAGTTTTTCCCCATGTCAGCTGGAAATGGGACAATAAAAATTTGGCTTAATGGTCAAAGATGATTTAAGTAGATATAGGGTGCTTGTACACGTGGGGGTTTAGTTCGGTTTAGATCTCCCTAAATTGAAACACTGGCCTTTAAAGAACCTATGGTTTCCACTGTTTCCGTTTAAGGAGAACTAAACTGAACTAAACCCCCGTCACATGTATACAAGGGTTAGGGGCCCAATCCTTAGAGCTTACCTGCCTCTCCCATGGTGGGGGGTGGAGGGTGAGCTGCCAGTGGGCTGAGCGGTCCCTGAGCTGTGGGGGACTCCAGTGCTTCATTCTGTGGTGGCGGTACCCCCCAGGCGGCACCCACACGTTGGCATGGCACCCAGCTCGGGCAGTCCCAGGGGACGCTGCAGCCACAGAGGGAAGCACTGTACCCCCTGCAGCTGTGGAGGGAAACACTGGGCTCCCACACAGCTCAGGCAGGCAGGCAGGTCCCAGGAGGGAGGAAAAAAAAAAGAGATCAGGTTCCTTGCCACTTTTTTTTTTTCTTCAGTTGAGCCTGCTTGCTCCAGCTGCTGCCAGGTTGCACAGCCCCTGAGCTGCGCCTGGGGGGCGCCTCCGCTGTAGAGGGAAGCACCAGGGTCCCCTGCAGCTCAGGGAGCGCTCAGGCCACTGGCAGCAAGCCCCCGCTCCACCGCCCAGCCACCGCCATGAGACAGACATGTAGGCTCCAGAACCCCTGCAAAGTCCCTGCTACTTCTCACCACCTGGGACTGCCTGGGAATGGCTGGCTTGCCCCTGGGGCAGAGCAGCAAGGCAGCAGGGTGTGTTGGTGATGGGAGAAGGTGATGGGAGAAGGTGGTGGGGACAGTGCACGGTGTGCTGAAAGCCCACCAAGCCTGAGCTTCCCTGAGCACGTTGGCTTCCAGTGCCCCGTGCACCATTGCACTTTGTTAGGTAGCAAACTAAAACTCCTCCAGCAGGTTTTATCTTGCTACGTTACAAAGTCATTTAAAGTGAGCATGCAAACAGCGACACTATTAAAGTGGAATACGCTGCCGAGAATGCAAACAGCAATGCCATCAAAGCAGTGCAAAAGGGCATTTAAGGTGCTTTAAAAGCCAATTTTGTTTCATATACAAAGACCCATAGAGGAAAACTGTCTAGGAGGGGATCCCTAGGGAGGGTGTGGAATTCCCATCAATGGAGACTTGTTAAAGCACATTAGACAAGCATCTATCAAGAAGGGCCGGTGTACTTGGATCCTACCTCAGTGAAAAATAATATACTAGATAACCTCTTAAGGTCCCTTCCATTTCCATGATGCTATAGCAGCATCCCAGTATGAACAAAAATAGCCTTGGGCAAACCAGTTACTTTGGTGACTGCCCATCCTCAGTATCTTCCACTGCCTTTGGTAGCCCATCACACAAACTTAATAAACAGAATGTAGAGTTAGCTGTTATTTTCAGTCATGCCTTCTCTTCTACCAGCTGTATCACAATTGGCATTTTTAATTTCTGTTGCAGCTACAATAAATTTTAAATAGAGCTTTTTCAAACTCTGCCTCATTGGTTAAGAAACACTTTCCCCCATCAGTACATGTATGCGACTGTCTTTCATGCTAAAGGGAGTTACCTGCACAGATGATCTGGACGCCCGGGCCTTGTTGAGTGTTCTTCGCCTCTCCCAGCGGTGAATGGAGTCCTGCACTTCCACACTGAGCTGCCGAGTCACCGTTATCTTATCATAGTTCTTGATGTGCTCCAGGGCTCCATAGGTGGTGGTTAAATAATAGGAACCTAGGAACAGATAGATCCCAAAGCAACATTATAACTGAATCTACTGCTAATTTGTCCTTCCACCGTCTCTGCTTCCCTATTCATTTAACATCTACAAATTGTCTACATCTTGGATTATGGGTGCTGTAGGGTGGATTGTTTTATCTCCCTGTACCGGGGGACAACGGAGCTCTGACTTCTGTTGGAGTCTCCTGATGTTACCTCAGTAGAAATAATAAATAATTATCACAGTACACAGCATTCTGGTTCATGTAGCTGGACAGGTAATGGAAGCTACTGGACTTGCATGTGTCATTCCCCATAGATAGATTCATAGATTGTTAGGGGCTGAAAGGGACTTTGTAGATCATCGAGTCCAGTCCCCCTGCACTAGGCAAGAAAAGACAACTGGGGCCAAGTGACCCCAGTGAGGTGACTTTCCAGTCCAATTTGGAAGACTTCCAGGGTAGGTGACTGCACCACCACCGGAGGGAGTTTGTTCCACAGTCTGGACACCCTGACCATGAAGGATTTATCCCTGGAATTGAGCCTGAAGTGGCCTTCCAGGAGTTTGTATCCATTGCTCCTGGTCTTCCCCAGGGGTGCCCTGGCAAACAACTGTTCACGGAGTTCTTGATGTACTCCCCTGATGTAGCAGTAAGCCGCTACCAAGTCCCCTCTCAGCCTTCTTTTCTGTAGGCTGAAGAGGCCCAAGTCCCTCAGCCTCTCCTTGTATGGCTTGTCTTGCAAGTCCCTGATCATGCGGGTGGCTCTTCTCTGGACCCTCAAGTTCTTCCACGTCCTTGGTGAAGTGCAACACCCAGAACTGGATGCAGTATTCCAGCTGTGGTCTCACCAGTACGGAGTACAGTGCGAGTATCACTTCCTTAATTTTGCATGAAATGCAACAGTTAATGAATGCCAGCATGTTGTTTGCCCTGCTGGCCACAGCATCATACTGCTGGCTCATGTTTATGCGATGGTCAATCACTACCCCTAGGTCCTTTTCAGCCATGGTGCAAGTCAAATTGTTGCCACTGAGCCTGTAGGTATGTTAGGGATTGTTTGCCCTGAGATGGGGCACCTTACACTTCTGAGTTTTGAACTTCATCTGGTTCTGGTCTGTCCAACTCTCCAGCTTGTCCAGGTCTGCCTGTATCTGCAACCTATTTTTTGGCATGACCATGTCCCCCATAACATAGATGAATGAAAGCAATGGTGGCATTGTTAAAGACACCTTCAGGTTAAATGTAGAATCACTGTAAACTCATACAGGATCTTCTTCCAGAGATAAACCAATTTCACCAGCCTTTGCCTTATAATGCAAGCTAAAGCAGGCACTATATTTTTTGTTTTGTGCATGTCTGGTGCCCCCAGTGCTGGAAATGGAGCGGGCCTTCCCACTTACTCAAAAAGTGGAGGATTACTCAAAGGGTTCTCCCTCTGTGAGCAGCCAGGCACAGGTTGGCCATTTATGGCTCACCCCATTCTGTAAACGCAGTGGAACATGTGCTGAGCCTACCTAACAATAGTAGTGTAAATGTATTCGACCCATGCATTCAACAAGGACTACAGCATAGTCCTTACTTGGGATGCAATTATTGCATGCACAAATACAGACTGGGGAATGATTAGCTAGGTTGCAGTACTGCAGAGAAGGACCTGGAGGTTACAGTGGACTACAAACTGAGTAAGAGCCAACAGTGTGCTCTTGTTGCAAAAAGGCCAGCCATATACTAGGTTGTATTAACAGCATTGTCAACTGCAGATCAAGAGAAGTGATTCTTCTGCTCAATTCAGCACCGATAAGGCCACACCTGGAGTACTGTTGTCCAGTTTTGGGCCTCACACTTCAAGAAAGAGATACACAAATTGGAAATAGTCCAATGCAGAGCAACAAAATGATTAGGGGCCTGGGAAGTATGACTTATGAGGAAAGGCTGAAAGAATTAAGGTTTTGTAGTTTGAAGAAACGAAGACTGAATGGGGATTTGATAACAGCTTTCAAATACCATTTTTAAAGAGGATGGAGATGAGCTTTTATCTGGGGCTATAGGGACAGGAATAGGAGCAATGAACTCAGCTACAGCAAAATAAATTTAGTTTTGAGATTAGAAGGAACTTTCTGATTATGAGAGTGATCAAGCATTGGAACAGGCTACTTAGAGAAGTCATGGAATCTCCATCCCTAAAAATTTTCAAAAGCAAGTTGGACAGACACTTGGCTGGGATGGTTTATTCAGGGATGATTCTGCCTTGAGCAATGGACTGGACTAGATGACCTTGTGAGATCTCTTCCAGGCCTACTCTCCTATGATCCTGTGATTATATGGGGATTACCAGTAGCACTTAACTGGCAGGGATCAAAAGAAGCTGCAACAGGGCAGAAGTTTGTAGCCTGTAGGCAAGTGGGTGAAGAAGAGTTATGTTGGGACTGTTTCTTTCATGCTGCCGGACTGGACTGTTCATGAAACTGGGACAGGAATTCTAGCAAGTGGGCCTGAGTCACCTGCAGCCTTCATTGTTGGCAGTTCGAGTAAGGGAATCCTCTCTTCCTCGGTGTGTGAGTGCCCTTGGAGACCCTCCAGGGCTGAAGCCTAAGAAGCCTAATGTGTGAAGCAGTTGATGCACTTGCTTCAGAGCATGCAATGTACCAGTGTGCTACCAGGCATCTGAGACATGACTGTACCACAACAGAGTCAGCGATGCCTGGCCATGGATCAGATCTGGTATTGCTAGTAAGTGCCAAGGAACCAGTATCTCTAAATCTGGGTAAATAACCTTGATACTTTAACTTCCAGGTCTGTGCTTTAGCCACAAAATGTTTCTTCCCCTCTAGCAGGAATAAGCTGCATTTCTTAGTCTGCTAGTTCATAATTTACACACAAGCACTTGTTTCCATGTTTGCCCAGTACATGCCTAAGTTAGATATGGGCAAGGAGGTAATGTTTGACAGCCAAAAATGAGCTTGCTTAGACCAAGGATTCATGACTAGAATCAGTTCAGTTTCAGGCATGAAATGTGACAGACTTGAAATCTTTTGAGCTACTTACCAAAGCTAGAAACATAACCACATTCAAGCTTGGTTCCAATCAAGAGTTAACAATTAAGGGACAAGCTCAGATCCAAGGATTTCAACTTTGTGTCCCCCAAATTAAATGGAGTTTAGCTTTGAGGTACTGAGTACCTCATCTCTACTTCACAATTTTAACATGTCTGCTGGCTTCCAAGTTTGTTATCTCCTCTCATTCTCAAATAAAAAACTCCAGTTGTAGATGATCAAAACAGTCACTAGATGGCGATTCCACAACATACAATTCTGGCTGCTCTGACAGCTCTCTGTAATGTTTCCTCTTTTTAAATGAAACTCACAACAATTCTCACGGTTGGTCACACAAATGGTGTCTGGGAAGCACTTTGCATAAGGACGATATGTTCAGAACACGGTTTTCAACACAGCAGTCTCCTTGCACAGGAGGCAAAGCAACAGTAATTTAATCGTCCTTCTTCAGAGGGATCCCACTACTGCAGTGAATGTTACTCCATAGGAATCCAGGCCTGGAAGGGACCTCCTGGTCCCTGATTACTGAGTCCAGTACCCTGCCATTGCAGGAAAATACATCGTAACATCTTTTTCAAGCTCCATCTTAAAAATAGTTAGGTTTCTTGCTGCTACTGTTCCATTAAGAAGGCAGCTCCAGAATCAAATTGTTCTGATGGTTAGAAACCTTCTTCTAGTTTTTGGCTTAAATTTATTGTCCAATTTGTACTCATTTATTCTTTATTTGTTCCTTGGCTTAAATAATTCTTTTCCTCCCTGGTGTTTCTCCTCTCCTCAATGATTATCATCATATCCCCTTTCCAACCTTAACTTCACTAAACACCTTTGGTCTCCCCTCATATAAGAGGCTCTCTCTTCCACTCACCATCGTAACAGCCCTTTATTGCACCTATTCCAATTTTAATTCATCTTTCTCGAACCCTGGCGACCAGAACTGTACACAGAAATCTAAATAAAATCTTACCAAAGCTTTGTACAAGGGCATTAACATCTACCTACACTAGAAATACTTCTCATCATACTTCCTAGGACTGTATTTTATTTCTTCACAGCAGGATGATATTTGTGGCTCAAAATAATTTAATCCAGTTTCTATTACTCTAATCTTCAAGGCCATTCAGTTCTTTCTGTATGGCATTCTAATCCTCTTCCACTCTGTTAATGCCTCACTCCCTATGCATCCCCTTTCAGAAAGAGCTACCACCCAAGCCAGCTTCTCTGTCTGCTTTAGGGTTATCAGACAGACCTAATGCAGGAGAAGCGTATGTGTGCCACAGCCCTTCACAAGCTTGCTGTGCAGCAGGTGTGCAGAGCAGCTTTACCAGGAAACAGGAACATCCAGTTGAGAAGCAGTGAGGTAAGTTAAGGTAGCACCAGCCATGGTTCTCAACTGGAGATGTTGCAACATTCAGAAAAGTGAAATGTGCACTGACTTGGAAAAGGTTGAGAACCACTGATCTAGTTCGCTCAGTCTCTTTATGTTTGCCCTTTTGAAATCAAAAGCCTGAGCCACAGACTTAACTTTGTTTTTCTTTCCATTTAATTTAAACAGAATCAATTTAGGATGGCTTGATCCCTGGTTATTTTACATGAACAACTCTTCTGTAATAAATTCATTGCTTACTAAAACTGAAATAGCATCACCTGCTGTTATTTCAGCAACTACTGGGTGAAGAAATCTGTTGATTTTCATTTGGAAAAACTGGGCCCAACCATTATTAGCACCTGTCTAATCTCTATCTATCCCACAAAATAATATAGTTCCCTTTAGTATTTTATTCTGTAATAATTCTCTCCATATCCAGCATCCATTACTACCCATACTTCACTGTCTCTACATTGTGATATGTATCACCTACGTAGCACTGCTAAAAGGATTAGTTTATTACATAAACATTACAGGAAATGAACACTGTGCCTAATCAAAGACAAACTGCACAATTAAAGCAGCACAACTCTTTCTCGTTAGAGCAATAGAAAGCATTGACAGAGTGTAGCACAGGAGTTTATTTTTAGACAGCGATCTGCTTACTTTACAATATCTGGGCTGGGATCGTCAAGGGTGGGTGCCACTGATTTCCATATTTAGGCAATCTGGGGCCTTGACTTTCAGAATAGCTGGGCACCTGCACCTCTAACTGATGGTAGAGGGTGCTTCCGGGTTCTCAGCACTATTGACATTTTAGTAACTCATTATGGAATTTAACTTAGGCACCCACTTGTAAAAATTGGCCAAAGCATACAAGGGAGGCCCACCCAGAAGCCATCCCTAACTCTAGCCAGAGCCCCCATTGTGTTCTACTGACACAGCATTCACTTTTCTTTTTTTTTTAAATGAAAAGAAGTACATTTAAAAAAAGAGAGAGCATTCCAGATGTGTGATGGCTCTTTCATACCTTCCCCCAGCTGCAGGGCCGGGTCCATGAGCTCCATCACATACTCCACATTCAGAAGCACTTCAGTGAGGTTGCTGCGAGCCAGAACATACATTAGCACTGGCAGGAAGTCATCTGCACCATAAGGCTTCCCTGAAACAAGAGTAACACAAATGGGTATCAACAAGCCTCGCAGTAAGGTAACAGTCCTAGTGCAGAAGTGGTGGCTTATTAATAAGTATGTGGGAAGTTTCCTATGGGTTATACCAACTGACAGGCTAACAGCTGAAAGATGCCAATGAAGAGAGGTTAAGAAATTGAAAATTAAATAATCAAGCAGAAAAACTAATAAAAAAAAGTCAAGAACAAAATTTCTAGCAGGCTCCATTTCATAATCCCTGATCATCTAAATACAAAATTGGTTATTATGAAATACAAACAAGAGGTACTGAGGGACTGCTGAGGATTAAGCTCTGCATGCTTGAAGCTCAAGGGTGCTGCCGTTCTGAAGTGCAATATGTTTGGTTTCAGTTCATACCATCAGCAGAGCTCTCAAAATGGATTATAAGCTTTTATTCCCTTGGGCCCCCTTCTCATTCTCTATCTGTGGACCAATGGGTTACTGCACAATGGAAAAGCCCCTGGAGAATAATGAAAACAGGATGACAGGGTGGTTCTTGGGACAGGAATCATGCTTTCCTATGTTTCCTCAGGAGGTAAAGATTAGATCCTGTGTGCTTAGTTATAATGGATTCTCCAAGGAGGTTGGGAGCCAAGGGGAAGGTATAGTGTCCCAATATGATAACACAGAATGTTTTTTTTTTATTGTGTTGGTGATCAAAGCTGTTCTAAGGCTTGATGTGAAGATTTGAGAATCCTGAGGGACTAAAAACTGTATGCAAGAATGCAAGAATCATGGGGTTAGGAATAAAACAATGAAGGGTAACTCTGTAGACAAGAGATATAGCCCCTCCATTGTGGGGGTGGGGGGGAGAGCGGGGGCAGGAACACAACTCCTGGGACCTCATTCCTGCTTCTCAGCAGTGCTGATGTATTTTATATTAGACAGTCACTGGTTAAAAGAGAGAAACAACTCTGGAATCTGAATTGCCTTTCTTCCTAGCTGAGTGTCATCATCATTAGGTTACAAAATCAGGCTCCTTCTCTTTGTGTCTTTTTTTCTCTGGCCCCATGACCTATTTGTATCCTCAGCTGCCCAGTTGCCTAGCTTCAACAGAAGGGAGGGGGCACCCTCACCCAGACTATTCTACAGCTTGGTAATTAGGGCACTCTTCCAGGAAGATGGAGATGGGTTTGAACCCACCACAGAGACTGAGGAGAATATGGAACATAAGTCTTCTACATCCTGGCTGAAGGTGTTAACCACTAGGCTGTTCTCCAATAGGTAAAAACCATCACCAACACTCAGGTTAGGCACCTTATTTCAGAAGAATTTGGTATTCTGGCTCCCAAGTGAACAGAAACCCTTATGTGCAGCCTACACTCCTGAGATAGAGGGGAGTTCAAGCACACCCCTGTACTTAGCATTTCTGATTGGCTGCTTCTGTGTGCATTTTGAGTCACTTTTCAGAGGCTGATAAATCTTCCCATTGACTTTATAAGGATTTGAGGCATCTATATTTGGTTAAACTGAATCATTCATAGCGGTGGGCATGCGCCTAAGTACCTGCAGTAAAGTGACCAAACTGGATATGGCCCTTAGTCTTTACAGTTCCTTGGGATCAGCTGCCTACAAAAGCTGATACATTTCCGAGCAATAGGTATGCCCTGTCCTGCCTTCTGCCGTCCTTTGAGTTATCTATCAATCATTTCATGCTATCATTATTTCAAATGTCACAAAATAAGATCCACACAGAATCTTCACAAGATTCACTGGGAAGAGCATGAAGCCTGTATTTCCTGTCTACAACCTACTTTCATATACATCTCTTTTCCATTGCCATTCCTTTGATTCATACCATACAGAATATATACAATGAAGCTGTTTAACAAGCCAGCTTTCAGGTATGCAGGTGTGTGCTGTCTTCACAATCCAAAACCCTCTGATTTCATTCTGAAATCACTTGGGTTGCCTGAAATGTTCATGGGCATTTTCTCTTTTATCTAACTTGTTCATGTCTGTTTGAGAATCATTTGTCGAGGTTCCACAGACAAAATCTATCCCTGACGTTAACTATAGTGAAATTGAACCCAGCCTGCTTTTGGCAAACAGTCTGCCTACCCTTTCATGGTATAAATTTCCATTCCTCAAATGTTCCCCAATGACTTATGTCAAGTCTTTGCCATGAGTCAGGTTTCCTTATTTGTCAATCAGAGTTAACATTGGTTCTCATTTGGCAAAGGAAGATACTTCACTAGAGATTCAAACAAAGATAAGCCTTGTTCTCAATTTAAAAATCTGACTTTAAAATAAAGCAAACAATGTATCTGCTAAGCAGACAGTGTAGTTAAAGTGGAAGAGGGTGAGGGAGTTATATTCACTTTTTCTAGCTCTAATTCAGGCTGATTTTTACAGTGGGCCCAAACAGTTGAAGGGAACTGATGGTCTACTTGGTGAAAGGAGGAGTAACACTTTCTAAAAGTGCTAGCTTAACTACAGAGGCAGTTAATGATACCACTAAAGGTTTAGAGCTGTACTGTAAAAGGGCTTCAGTGTTTAATTAGTGTCTGGATGAATGTTTTATTTCTCCTGTGTTGCTACGGCATCAGTTTCTTTGAAAGCTTCAACTGATTGGAGCCATGGTGCCAAATCCATTCTAGTCACAAATATAAATGCACTAGTGTTACAGCTACTTTTTGTTGTTGGACTGCATTTAAGTTCTGCCTCAAAAGAAACGAAGAAAGGAGAACCCCAGGTCTGATCTCACTAACCCCAGAGTAATCTGGAGTAACAGTCCAGAGTCAGCAGAATTCTACCACTGTAAAGCCACCTACAAGTCAATCCAGCTGTTTTCCTTCTGCTCCTTCAAGTGCTTTAAGTTTTTAAATAGCTGCTGAACCATGCTAGACTTAACAGACCTGGATTCTTAGTACCCTAGAAAGGTAGAGTACTGCTGTAGCCTCTTTCTCCCCACCCTTTCTCTGGACTGGAAAGTCCATCCTTAAGAGTGAGAGGGCAGGTCATTCTTCATGACCAATCTGTGTCCTCTCTGCTAAGTGCCCCCCAAGAAGGATCCCAGGTTGTGATATGAATTCTTGTCTGCTAGGACAATCCAGCCCTTTCATCCAACAGCCAGCTGGTGGTGAAGACTTGTTGGTTTACCAATCTGAGTGAAATCTGAACCAGTGACTTAGAAGTGCAAGGTTCAGTGGTCACTTATCCATCCCTGAGCCGGCTGGCATTAACACAGGGTGACACTTTTCAAGGACTCTTGCAGAATCTCTCCATTTCTGTTTTATTGACTAAAATGTGGTTTATATTTACAATTAGGCTTTGAGTCAATTATTTTCACTACTACCCATCTCATTTCCATACATCGATTTAGCTGCTCTGCCCACCAAGCCTTGTTATACATCTTCTAACTTTAAAACTTGATAAAAGAATTATACGTGAAATATTTCTGCAGCCCCAGCTGTTTCCATGTGTTAATTATTGAAATCTTACATACAGTACCTTTTGATTAATGAACTCAAACTAGGCAGGTTTGACTGCAATAACATATATTGCCATATGGCATGTACCCCCAACGTGCATAGATTATTTGACTGACTTGTAAACTACTTTTAGAACTAGAAGGCCTTAATATGCGAGTACCTCCAGTTAAAGTCAGTGGGAACTACAAGTGTTTTGCGAGAGAAAATATGATCCAGTGGATAGAGCACTAACCTGTAACTTGAAAGACCCTTAACTTGAGTCACTTTGGGAAAATTATTTTGCCCCTCTGTGCCTACAGACATGTCTATACCACACACTGACCATGCCAGGTAGCAATGGGGTGAACAGCAGGCTGTATATTCCACACTATTTCCTGAACCAGAAGTAATGCAGTATTACAGAATACAGTCTCTTTAGTATGGTGCTGCAGGTAAGATAATTAACTGTGCTAAGAGGCAGAGCTAATTAGCTTGGACATAGTGCTGTGCAGACACAGTTATACTACATCTGTTTTGGAAGACAGGGAGGTGTGTGACATGTTTCAGCATTGTACCTCCTGGAACTGTGAATGTTTCAAGTTTCCCCAGTAGATAACAGGGGTATTGCAAAGAGAAATATACTCAAGATTGTTAGGGCTCAGATATTGCAATTAGGTGCTGCATCCACTCAAGATAGACAGTGCTATTGAAAACTAGGTTGTAATTTTTGTATCCTCTTGCTGACTTGGTCCTTGATCCAGCCACGAGCAGGTGCTAGGTGTCCCCATCTGCCAGCAAGGTCAATATTGCTCAGCATCTTGCAGGACTAGTTTCAGAATGGACAAAGAAGGACCAAAAAGACCAGAAACAAATCAAGTAACCAGTGGTTAAAGTCAGTGCATCTCTATGTTAAATTTATCCTTCTCTAGAATGGGCTGAACCTGCACCTTGAATAGAAACCCCTGAAATGTCTGAAAAGGTTCAGATCCAGATATGAGCTTTTCTGAGGCCCATCTCTGCTCAGAAGAGTTTGCATTGGTTTAAAGCAAAGGGTCCAGTTAACTCCTTTTACTTGGAACTGACTTGTCCAGCTTCACTGTAAAAATCTGTATGTAACTCTTGTTTTCTGCATCAAAAACTAGCAGATTACATCCTGCTCTCAGTCTGACTAAGACTTGTGTGATGGCTCTGTGGCATGAGGAAATGGGCTTACTTGGTCAAGGTGGCATTGCCCTACTCCAAATCTGACCTGCTTGACAGGAAATATTTGTTTCATAAATATCTGTAAGAGGCTTAAAATAAGCCTTCTCCTCTCCAACAAACCCATCCTATTACATTCAGAGGAGAGCGCTTGCAATATCAGCCTCTGGCTGGGCTGCAGTGCTTGAGTGGGATTGGTATTAATTAAATGCATGGTTTAAAGAAACTGGAATTCTGCCCAAGCCTCCATAAAGAAATTAGGGATTGGCTGTAACACATCCATATACATGTTTCCCCCAGTAGCTCTTCTGAACAGCATGCCTGATAATCATCTTAATGCAGTAATAGCACTTTGCACTTGTATAGCATCCTCTGTCCATGCAACAGTCTCATAACATTTTGTAAACCTGCTTGAATGGAGCCTCCCAGCATTCCCTTAGGGGAGACATAGCTCAGAATGATTTTACAGTTTGGGAGGCTGACACACAAAAGGGACATGATATGCCTGTGATCACACAGAAATATCTTCAATGGTCTAGAATGCAGCCCAAACTCCCAGCTACAGGCTTTGCATACATGGGCACCTTCTACTTTCTGGTATATTAGCTATGTGAAGTTTCTGTAACATACAGGTCAGGTTTGGTTGAAAGTGTATTTGATTTCCAAGACTGACTATAGGCTAGGTGATTTTTTAATGTTTTCTATTTATATACAGAAACAGAATGAATCTGCTTCCATAACTCACACTTTACAGAACAGAGGAAACCACTTCTGTTTGAGCTTGAACAGGCATTTGATTCAAATGCAGCAACCAGATGAGATAAAGGATAATCTCTGGTCCCTAAGGTCTGATTAACATTAATTCTGACATAACACTGCCTTCCAGGTCTCTGGACTTCACAAGGAAAAACTATTATTCCCTCCCCCTGCCTTAGAAACAATACATGATAGCACACAATATAAAAGAACCACTTTTGTTCAGTGTAAACTGATTCTAGAAAAAGGCTTCAACATAGAACATTTATGCTAATGCCTTCAGTGCCCAATAGCTCGGTAGTGCCACTCAAGCCACTTGTCAACTGCAGAACTATATAGGGGGAAAAGGAATGAAAGGGCAACTTATGTTCATCAGGTTTCTAATTAAACTCATTATTAAATTATTTTTTCCTGGAAGCACATTGTACATTAGTCATTCCTACTGCACAAAGCATGGATTTGCACAAATTAGGGATGGAAAAGGCTACCATATTTAGTTTAGCTGGCCTGCCCCTCCCTCAGTCCATGTGGAGTTGTTCCTTGAAGTACATTTCTCCATCGTTTCATACAGTCCAATTTTAAGTGACTCAAATGATTAAACTTCAGCCACTTCCCCCTGGAGACTATTGCACAGGCTAATAGATCTTACTGTTCAGAAACTGTTCTCTTATTCCATTCTCTGGGAATTCCCTACATGATCATTCTCCCTATCTTTGGCCTCTCCATCCTTTGTACGCGTGATGACCCTGCTGTATCTCACTTGATCTGTTCAGTTCATTCACTGTTTCTCCAAAATCCAGCCCTTCCCTTCAGTGCTCTTGTCTATTCTTATATCTTTCAAGTGGCAAGGTGCTTAGGAATGAATGCAGTGCTGCACTAGTTCCTCAGGATGGTAACTGTATACATGGCCAGAGAAATGCAGTTTAATGTTTTGCAGGACTGATGCAAAAATATATGTATATATTTATTTAGGATTTTTTCTCAAAACAAAATATTTTGCTTCAGGTTAAATTCACCCAAAATGAAATATATCATTTTGACTTTCCCGGTGACATTCCTCTTTGCTCTGAGCAGCAAAAATGCTGGAGATCCTCTGACGTTGGGTGTATAAGGTGAACTCACCATTCCTGTGGCAGTGCTTTAAAACACACTCTGGTGTTCCAGATGGGTGGCCTCTTACACCAAAAGCAGCGTAGCTGTTTGCTCTGGTGCACAGTGCATTCACCCTATAGACAATGGCTCCATTTCTGCTCTGAAGTTTACCTTGAGGAATGATTAAGAACCTGCCCTGAGCTGCTATTGATATTTTTGAACAAAATAAGGAATGTAGCTCCCCAGGCTACAGAATAGCTTCCAGGAATTTGGGGCTGGTCAGTATACCAAGAAATCTTATCTTAAGAAATTTGGAATTCATCATGGATAGAACCAAGCCTTCTACACTGGCTTCTTGCTTTGAGCTTGTTCACTCCTTTCCTACCATACATCTGGGTGACAGTATTCCTATATATCCTCATTTTAACTGAAGCGGTGTGAAATTGCAGCAGCGCAACTGAAAGAGAAACCCAAAACACCACACAGTAGAGCCTTGGTTGGCGGTTTGATTAGAAGTTTAGCTCAGCCATGGGGCAGATATTTGGACCTCGATCTAATTCCAAACTTCCCTGAATTTGAAGGGAATCTGGACTCAGGACTTTTGCTTAATCTCATTACAGAGATGGACACTACTATGAATATCCAGATTCATAGATTTCATAGACATCAGGGCTGGAAGGGACCTCGGAAGATCATCGAGTCCAGCCCCCTGCCCAAAGGGCAGGAAGTCAGCTGGGGTCATAGGATCCCAGCAAGATAAGCATCCAATTTTCTCTTGAAGGAGTTCAATGTAGGTGCTTGAACCACCTCCGATGGCAGGCTATTCCAGACCTTGGGGGCTCGGACAGTAAAAAATTCTTCCTTATGTCCAGCCTGAAACGGTCTTGCAGTAGTTTATAACTGTTCAACCTCATCATCCCTTGGGGCGCTCTGGTGAACAAATGTTCCCCCAGATACTAGTGGTCACCCCTAATAAACTTATAGGTGGCCATCAGATCACCCCTGAGCCTGCGCTTTTCCAGGCTAAAGAGCCCCATAGTCCTCAGCCTGTTGTCATAAGGTCTGTTTTCCTGACCTCTGATCATGTGCGTGGCTCTTCTCTCGACTCTCTCAAGCTTCTCCACATCCTTTTTGAATTGTGGGGCCCAAAAGTGGACGCAGTACTCCAGCTACGGCCTCACCAAAGCCAAGTACAAGGGGAATTTTAATGTAAACTTGATGCTCATCAAAAACCTGTCAATGAACCTGAGCTGATGTAGATGGGTACCTCAAAACCTTATAGAAAACTGGTGGTTTTGAAAGATCCGGTGAAAACTGTTGACACCTAAATGTTGTCTTGAGAATTTAAGACAGTTTCTCAGGCCCGACTTAGTCTCTGAATTAACATATGTTGGAGAAGTGGCTCGGGCAGCCAAGTGAGTTATTACAGCTAGTAGTGCAATCTACTATATAATAAGATTCAGTGGTGATCAAATGAGCTTCAAGAAGTATAAACAGACAATTATACAGGAAGTGTACAGGCTGTGCCCTGTTTCCTGTGCGAAGAATACTTCACCGACTCAAAACTGGTTGAAAGAATGAAAGGGACTGGGTTCCTATTCTCTGGGTGAGTACAAATGCAGGAGACTCCCTGGAGCAGGACGGGCTGGCTCTGAACAACTTACAGCACTAAGGATTAGTGCTGGTCAGGAATTTCCTGCCAGAATGTGCAGCTTCTGCAGTTTCCTGAAAATTTTCAATTTGTCACCAGGAAAGTTAAAATGACATATTTCATTTTGGGTGAATTTGACCTGAAAATATTTTGTTTTGAGAAAAAAATCCTAAATAAATATATACATATATTTTTGCATCAGTCCTGCAAAACATTAAACTGCATTTCCCTGGCAATGTATACAGCTTCCTTGCGAGAGCTACACTTAAAACCTCATTGGGCACATCTACATGTTGCCCCACAGTAACGTTGTTACTCTGCTGTGCTTTAGTACTTCTGCTAAAGCATGGCGAAGTACCGGCCTGTACTGCGCCATACGTGTGGCACATGGTTATTGTGACTTTTAGTGCTAGCTCACACATAAGAAGTCTTTAGTACTATTCACATTTTCTTAATGGACAGTGTTGTGTACATATCCTAACGTGTCCCAATATACTGTATTTTCTCACATACAACACATACTTTTCCCTGCAAAATTGGGGGTGCATGTCTTAAGCAGGAAAGCTGTTTTCTTCACTGAAAAGGAAGTACACTGGTTGATACTCTGCTGTAATGCAACTACCAAGATGGCTACTGCTTATGTCTGGTTTAGTGAGCCAGAGGCAGAATCCCATGTTAACCCTCTCACAGTTATAGCTATTACCTGAGCACTGTAACTTGTGCCTGAAACAGCAAGTGAGCTGCTGGTTGTCTTTTGATGAGGCTTGTAATGTGGAAACAATTTATTTACAGGAACACACACACACACACACACACACACACACACACACACACACTGTATTTGAAGAACTATTAACAGTAAAGAACTAACACTCTTGTTACTGCTCTTGCAAAGGCCTGGGCCTAACCTTGCGTGACAAAGTCCTCCCAGAAACATTTGTCCAGGCAGTGTGGTATCCCAGGAGACAGTCTAGGTGAGGCAACAGGCATCAGAAACTTCCTGGCACTACTATATCATAATCATCCATGACTGTAAAAATCTTTTCTTCTACATTCTGCCTTCCAAAAACAGGTGCATGTTTTACTTGGGGTGTATTATATGTGAGACAATAAGGTATTTTATTACCTTTACAGTTAGTCTGGATAGGACAGACATGCTAAAGAAGTGTAGCAATGGCTTAACAAAACAACTAAATCATCATGGAATAATGATTTGGCAATAAACAGTACTAGTACTTTACATCTATGAAGTATCCCAGGGACATTACCCCTCTGGATGTCTTAAGACTTTGTGGAGAGAATCCTAACAGGTTTTACACAGCTCAGTACAAACTGGCATAGGAGTGGAATTTGAGGAAACATGTGAATGCTTGTACAGGGCAGACACTTCCAATGAAACTCAGAGTTATGGACCTCAATATCAATATTTTAATTTAAGGAGCTTCAAGTCAGCTGGGACATTTCATATAACATCTTCTATTTGAGGATATCAGAATGCTTCACTGATATTACCTGATTCAGTCTGAATGCATGCCTGTGAAGAGTTATGCTAAACACACTAGGGACCAATTTCAAATTAAAACCTTAGTCCCCTTCTCATTATAGCTGGGAAAAAGGCAAAGCAGAAGTTGAGGAGGAGGCAGAGAGAACAAATGTTTCAATAAGATGATCCTACCTGGGTTTCCCTGAGCCATGGAGTCATAAATGAGTTTGCAGTATTTCAGCAGGATAGCAATCTTCTTTTCTGGGGAATAGGCCTTGTGCATAGTTGTAAACTTATGAATTATTTTTTCCAGAACAGCTGTTTCAGGCACGCTGGTGGTGATACCTAGGTCAGTGGTGGTTGTGCTCTGTATGACAAGCTGGTTCTCCTTCAGCAGCTGAAAGACTCCATCTTTGGTATGGATTTCCCTTAAGTAGGAATCGATGGCATCTTTTAAAGGTTTCAGGACACATTTGTACAAAGCTGACTCAACAATCACTTCTGCATAGAAAAGTAAGGGGTGAGAACAGGAAAATGCAGAAATCCATTAAAAAAAAATCAGCACAGGGGCATAAATATGTCCCTGACATAAGCAACTATGATTCCCACCTCATTAGCAAATTAAAAACCATGTCAATGATAACTGGGGTGCAAATGAATGTGGCTGGTAAATCAGTGTCCTCTGCATCAAGTTAGCATTTGGTAATTTTGCCAAGGGAATGTCATTTACACCCCTAAGTGGTAGAGTAGTGGAGATGCCATAACAAGCCGATCCCGTGTCCTGGGCAGGACAGAAACCACTATCAAAGCACAGGCCACCACCACTTCAGCTAAAGGAGTAATTCAGTGAACTGGCAGTGGCTGTGGGCTTTGTGACTCATGGTTTACAAGCACTTTACTGTAATGTATCAGGAAAACCAGTTAAGAGGAAATGGGAAGTAAAGTAGAATATCACTTTACCAGACTGTTACTTGTTGCTTTTCCTCCAACAGCCTGCTCTCATGGAGCCTGACTGGGTACAGCTACACTACAGCAGCAGAAAGCTCACTGTCACTGCTGAGGTAGTAAGTCGTGGCTACCTGCTGCTGCTCCACACACAGCAACCCTAGGAATGAGGTGGTAGGATGCCCTGGGACACCTCATGCTCTTGACACATGCTGGCAACCTAGCTCCTGAGCTGCCCCCTAGGCATTCTCACCACTTCGTTTTTGGGGGCTGGGCGTAAGATGTGAGAGCAGCTAGGAGAATATTACTGCCTTGGCACTAACAGAGCTCTCTGCCACCACAATCTAGACATTCCCCAAGTGCGGTAATTGCAGTAATTTGCTGACGTGCAGGAATGTATATCACATCTACATCCCTTGCAGATACTGCTCTATGAGCCACACTTGCTTAACATACCAGAGAAAAACTGCAGCCTGGAGAAACTACAGAAAAAAAATTGCACTATGTTGCTGCTGATACATAGCATTATAGAAAGGCCAGGCGGGAAGGGACCTCAAGAGGTCATCTACTCCAGGTCCCTGCCTTGAGGCACAATATTGGTCAGAGTCATCTGAGAGTACTGTGGTCTGTTAGTGAGCACCAACAAAATGACAACGTCATTTACTCTCACAAAATACAACTGTTTTAAAGAATCTTTTGCTACTTCCTACAGAGAGTGTCAATGAGCAAAAGCTGCTATTTGGGAAGGAGACAGTATAAAATAGCTCTTTGTGGGAATCTCTTTTGCTCCTCCATCCCTTCCCCTCAACTAAGTTAGGCCTTCTCTAATTTAACCTGTTGACTGTGAGCCAATGCGTTGTCTCTGTGATTGTGTCCCCACGAGCGCACATGTGCAGTTTGTGGCGCCTCAAAGCCATTTGAGGCGCCACAAATCACATGCAGCACATGTATATCCATGTGCTACACTCCTAATTTGCAGCACAGATGTTTGTTTTTGACACTGGGAGATCCCAATGTAAAAAAAAAGAGCTGGTAAAAAACGCGGTGTGGCGCACGTGGCAGCAGCAGGTGCCACCAGAAACAAGAGCCTGGCCAACCAGAGCCATGCTCTTGCTGCTGGCCAGGCTCCAAGTGGCTGGCTCAGTGCGGCTGCTGCTACGGCAGGCCCCCTGGACTTCAGGTAAGATGGCTGGAGCCAGCACAGGTGCTGGTCTCGCCTCCCCTACCCCACCTGAGTCCCTTTGCCACATACTGAAGTGTGCATGTAGGGGTGTGTCCAGGGATAAATAGCAGGGGCACAAATATATGCTGCTGCTGTTTGTCCCACAGGAAACATGTGCCCCTGCATGTGCATGGTTGTGGGGACATGCCCTATGGGCTCAAAGAATAAAATACTATCAGATGTAACCAGACATATGGGGAGAGGGGACACAAAAAGGACAGTTCCAGGACAGTGCCTAGTGGGCCATGTGCCAAGGGAACCAAACAATCCTGTGGGAGCTGAGAGCCAGTAGAGAGTCACGACACCTCCCCAGTGCGGTCCTGATCTCGGTGGGCCATGGGCTTTCTGTGGGTTGTTTAGCCTGGCTCTCCTGGTGATAAATGCAAACCAAGCACAGTGGAAAAGAGAACTGGGCACAATTTTCACATTGTTTTAACCCACATATATATGAAAATAACACAGGCTTGGTTCAGTGTTGGTTCAGAAGGCTGCACTTTGGAAGTCATGGAGTTTTGGTGTCTCTGACTTTACTATTGGGTTTTCACTGTTTTATTCCCTTCAAGGTCCAGTTTCACAACATGCACAATTTTTCATGTTCATTGACTGCCTGGATTTTTGCTTTCCGTGTCATAAGTGCCTGGAAACTTTGGGAAGTATGGATATCCCAAAGGGGGGGGGGAGACAGGAATGCTCTAACATATGCCTGTCACCATTAATTGCTTTGCATAAGGAGGCCTTCATCTTAGGCTAATCTTTAGGAGGGATGCATCTCATGTCTTTCCACAATTCTCATCTTTGGGCTCCTATTCCCAAGAGCACAGAATAACAGGGCTCATGACCTATCCCTGCAAAAAATACAGAAATACACCTGCTGGCATTTAACTAGACCACTTCTCAGTACTGACACAATATACCCCATGCTTTAAATGAAAAGCCCTGAACTGTTAAACAATCCTGCCCCCTGCCCCTATTTCAAGAAAACAAACACCAGCAAGGGGAGTCCCTTGGAATGGGATTTGGGCCAGAGGCAGATGCTGTTTTGGGGGGTCAGGAATGTTCTTACACTCTTCTCTTAATGATCAGCTGGGGAGCACAGAGCATGGTTTCCCTGAACGTTGTCTTTCAAAATCATCCATAATCCCAGAGACAGATCCATTAATCTCTGAAATTAATGCCATATGTGGAGGGAAATTCTACATCGAGACCCTCATACCAGAGCCCCACTCCAGCATGTTCATTGAACAAGTCTCCTCAGGATACAGAAGTTCATAAAATATGGAACATTATGGCAGGGGTCTGCAATATTTATCTATGGGGTGAAGACAGGGCTTTCTGCAAAGCTTAGGAAAGACTGTCTTTGCTCGTGGAATTGAATCTCTCTCAGGCCATTCTTTTATTTGTATTTTTCTAACTGGTTTCTTCAGTGTTAATACCTTGACCCAAATACAGATAATCTGAGAGGAAAATTTAGCCTCTAACACTGAGATTTCATGGAACATCCCCCATTTCAGAACATCATATCTGAAGAACCACCTCAGCTCTTCAGATATGACCACCACCCTCCCCCTCTTCACAAGCATCCCCTCCATTCCCAGAGAAGGAATAAAATCGGAGCACATACCTATCTGTTCTTCTGAATAAACAGAAGGATCGAGGAGAGCTTTCAGCTCTGTACTTTGCACTAAATAGCTTTTCAGCTGTGTCATCATCAGCCGGATTTCCTGTAGCATCTCCGTGCTGGAGCTCTGTTTTGCCATCATCTCCAGACTGTACACTCTGTAGTCCTGCACCAAATTGCCAAAGTAAGAGTCCTTGTCCTGAGATAGCTCCACAATCTTCTTCTGCAGCTTTCTGTTTGCAGAGAGGAAGACTGTGAAGACATTTGTTAGGCTCACAAAGGACAGCCTGTGCTTGGCCTTGTCCAGAATCACGGACCGTGTCTTTTTAACAGAGGGGCTACTCAGTTGCTCGAAATCATCCTCAGTGCTGCTTGTGGAGTAAGAATCAGGCTCAGAAGCAGAGGTATGAGCTGCTGCACTGCCTGGACAGTCCAAGGAGGAAAGAGAACCTTTAAGTTCAAACGACCCAGAAGATTTACAGCAGGCCCCTAGTGCATCCTGAGTGTCGGAGCAGGCGACATCACCTGCTGGCTGCAAGCAGTCTTTGGATGAAGTCTCTGCAGTGCTTGTATCTGGTGCTGAAATGTTGACTGACTTTGTGTTACAGGAGATAGAGATGGAGGCTTGCTGGGAAAGCCTCTTCTTTCTTGGTGGTGGGATAGGGGGCATCTTCCCTTTGGCTGTGGAGTTCCTCAGTGGCTGGGGCATGCACGCCTTCTCTGTAGGCTTTGCTTCCTCGCCCTGTGTTTCAGTAACACCTTCAGGCTCTTCTATGGCTGTTAGGCATACAGACCGGTTATCACTGCTCACAACAGAAGCCTGTTGTTCTTCCATCGGTTCCCCTTGAGGTGTTTCACATTTTGCAGACTTATCTACACAGAGTTCTTGTGAAAGTCTTTCAGATAATCGCCTCCTGGGAGGGACAGAGGGCTGATCACATTTCTTAGGGACTGCTGGAGGGAGGTCACTGGATGAGCAGGGTTCTTTCCCTTCTTCTTCCTTACTTTCATTGTCCTCTGTTTTCATTTCTGTTGGGCTCTTCCCTGGAGGCTGAAGAAGCAGCTGGTTGTCTTCACAGGCAGTCATGGAATCCTTCGATAGCTTTTTAGATGACTTCAGAACCTGGCCATGAGGAGGCGGCGGAGGGGGACGGCGAGGAGACTTCTTGAGACTCAGTGTGGTGGTGGTGGCACGAGAGAGCTCAGAACTCACACTGCAGCTTCTGGGAGGAGGTACATCTGGAGGAAAAGGATTACTGCACTCTTCTATAAAAATAGGATTCACAAACCACAGCCTGTCATTTCCTATTGACAGCTCAATTTCACATGAGCATTGGTTTGTGTCACTTGCAAAACGCTGGCTAGATCTTATATTGTCTGTCTGGGTGGTGCTGAAGGCAGAGTCTTTCAGAGCCTGGGAAATTCCCCCTCTCCTTCTTCTGTGGTTTAAAGAGGAGTCCCAGAAGCCTGTTAAAAATAGCAGAATTTGGCAACTGTCCTGAGAGAATCTTAACTTCTAATAGAGAGAGACAGGTAGCTGTGTTAGTCTGAAATCAGGCAGAAGGCAGGGCAGGATGGCACCTTAGAGGCCAACTCCTTCAGGGAAGCATACACTTTCATAGGCAACAGGCTACTTTGTCAGTTGCTGTGAATCTGACAGGACAGACTTCTAACTTCTAACAGGACTTTGGAGAACCACTTTGTATCAAAAGCGCACAAGCAAAGTTTCCACCATGCTGGACCCAAACCCTCCAAGGTCTAAAACACGGATTAATTTTTTAGCTTTTTAGTCTCTCCTCTGACCTCTACGTAAAATGCACTGTGAGAGGATTTTGAAGGGGATGATGTTTCAAGCTCAAATGAAGACAGGAAGGAAACAGAAATGTCACCAACTGCTTCTTGCCCCAAGTTGAGTTGTTCACACAGAAGAAACTACTACCCTTAGGAAGCTTGTCCATTGCTAAATGTGAGGGCAGCAGAACATGCTCAACAAACAAACAAACCGACCAACCTCTTTATCTCATTAAAATCAAAATGTCAAAATAGCCATACCTCACTAAGGAGAGTATAGACTTTGGCCTTGAAAAAACTACTGCATAGAAAGTACTGAACATTCCTTATCCATTGACCTAAGGCAGCGGTGCCAAAATCTGACCTGCACGGCCTCAGCACCTGGCTCCCACATGCCATACTAGGCAAATGCTAGACTGGTCAAGTATACACACAGTGCCTGCCCTGGCTGGTCTGGGACTGTGCTGCACATGAGACCTGAGCAGCATGCAGGCAGGTGCCACTTGTAGCATGGGTCCCAAACCAGCTGGAGTGGGCATTCACGAGGTACAGTCCCAGACTGGCTGGAATGAGCACTGCACATGTTGGATCCAGCATGAGGGTGGGGCTGGTCTGCAGGCCTGATCCAGCCCATAGGGCCAGCCACACACCATTCATCTGGCTTGTGGACTGGCCCTGCATTACTCATCCAGCCCATGGAACAAAATGAATTAGACACTGCTGATCTAAGGCCAAAAACCCAAACGTGTTTCACGCTATGAGATGTCTATGTAGTTAAAAGTCCCACACCCACCCCAAGTAGCACATAAGAAGTTGCCAGACACAGAGGTGGAAGATAGCTAGATATGATTAGAGCGCATGATGGGGAAATCCATAAACAGACAGCAGACATGTCTTGCACACACCCAGAAGGCAAGACACATCACCATGCTTCAGCCAGGGAAGTGAACTGACCATTCCAGGAATCCTAACAGTGGCTTGGGGTCCAAATCCTGCAATTACTCAGTAGCAGATACAGGGATGATTCTGTGGTGAGAAGTCCCATTGTCATGGCTGGGACTGCTCACAGCAGCAGGTGCTATGGCTACATGAAAGCTTTCAGGACTCAGCCTTTAGTTTTGAATTCGGAGACCCAAATTCTCTTCTCAGTGACTCTAGCACACCCCTCTGAACTTCAAATATGGGTGAAATTGAGAGGAGAACTTGGCCACAAATCAGCAGAACAACACTTGGGTTCATTTTGTACGGCCAAAAGAGAGCTGGTTGATCCCAGCATCACTTTGATTTTATGTACTCCAGTAACCCTTTTTTGTCTGAGGTTGGTCCTGTTGGTCTAGCACATGTGTGGCTGCACAGGTCCTAACAAGCCAATCACTCTGTGCACTCACTTGTCCTCTTATTCAAACATTCACATGTTCCATCCACCTACAGAATTAGCTCTTACAGAGAAGCCTGTGGGTATCACACATCTTTCAGGGCACCCTCATAGCCTACTGGAAGCATGTCAGGCAGTTTGGCCAGTGGACAGAAAGTTGGCTTGGTACTCAAATAACCTGGGTTCTGCTCTTATTCTGCCACTCTCCAGTGGCAAAACTTCACGTCTCTGTGCCTCAGTAAAACATAGCTAATCCTATTGCTGGCCACGGTATAATGCTTTGAAACCTATGGCCAAAAAGCACCATCTAAAAGTTGCATCGTGTTATTACTACAGAATGTTCCTTCCACACCCGAAGGAGTGCACAGGTAGATGCGCGGAGTCACCATGGGGTAGAAATTCTGTTCTCAAGGCTACAAAGGGTCTATATAGAACCTATTCCAGCCCACTTCATATGCCATCTTACAGAAGGAAAGATAGGACAGCTTCTTCCCATACAGCCCTGGACATGGAACGTTTCTGTTTTACTCCAAAGATTGTGCTGGCATCCATGACTAATATTGATTTACAAGCATGTCACAGTGTTTTTCTACTCAGGAAGGTTTGTACTATGATTACATTATGACCCCTGCCATGGCATGGGTGAGGGGAAACTGGATACATTTCTTGGAATAAATACACTTTGGCAGAGACGCTAAACATTTCTGAGTACAAAACAACTGTGTACATGTGAGCATTCATTTGTCATCACCTTGTTTCTGAGACCAGCAAGCAGGGTTAAATGCAGTGCAATGGAATTTTCTTATCTAGGGCAGCGAGATGGTGTTGCACCATTTCGTAGGTTGAGGAAGTGAAGGATATGTCATCCATTTGCTAAGAAAAGGGAAGTTGCTAATTTTCCCCATTAAAGGACAAAGGCAAAGCTCTAGGCCTACACAGCTGCTTCACACTGAAGCTATTCCAGCCCACTCCAGAAGCCACCCTATAGAATAAAGGATAGAAAAACTTACCCAATACCTGCCCCCTTCCCACGCATAGTATGCTGCTTCCTGGGGGTGCATTATCCACAAGGCTAGAAGTTGTTGCATGAACCTCCGCTATGCAGCAGAACCACAGTAGCTCTTTTGTAAAGCATCCTTTGTACTGAAGAGAGGCTGCATTTTCATGTTGTCTTTTCAGCAATGTGCAAATTGAATGGGCTTTCTTTTTCTGATAGAACCACACTCAAAGTCACCTTTCAGTGCTCTACACAACATGACCTATGAGCCTTACTATAACAGACAAAGCCTGCGCAGAATAATTCAGCTTGAAGCTGGACATCTGATTTCTGCTCCATGAGAATATGTGAACTTTGGAGGAAATGGAAATTGATAACCTTGCAAACAATGCCTGGTTTCCTTTTGGACAGGAAAAGTTGGCGGCTGCCTACCATGTTCTGCTTGTATAGAGTTTATTGTAAGAAGCAATAATACGACCCTCAATATTTCAGCCCATCTGACCTTATTAAGATGCACTAGAGCTCCAGGAAGCTCATAAGATTTAGTACAACTCTCCAAGGTAACTTTCCGAGATCTCTTTTGTTTTCAGAAACCTCCCTTGGACCCAAAGTGCTATAATATGCACAAAACCAGATGCTATCACTTCAAATGCCACTATCACAGAAGAAAGAAGAGGAAGAAAAAGCCTAGAGCTACAGGTTTTTTAAATGATTAGCAATTTGGTTTGTCCAACTTGTGGTTTTATTAAGAGCTCTTATTTCAAGACATTATTCAGAACTCGTCCTTTGAAAACCAGGTCTCTTTAAGGTGGCTCAAACTGAGAACACAAAAATGTAAGCTCTTAAAAGCATGCATCCCTTTAAAATTTTAAATCATCCCCTCCAAAATCCTCTCCCAATTAACCAAAGTGTTTTAGACCTGGGATGGTTTGGGTCCAGCATGGCAGAATCTTTGCTTGTGCTCTTTTGATACAAAATGGTTTTCCAATGTCCTTTTAGAAGTCTGTCTATTCATAGCATCTGACAAACCACACTTTTCTTTTTTGCTATAACTTTGAGTTACAAAGCAGCATTTCCTCAGTGGTTAGTATGGATCAGGTACCCAAAGTCAAAGAAATTTGGACAAAACCAAAACTCAAAGCAAAACTGAGGTAGCCTGGAATTGTGAGAAGTGAATCTGTTGGTTAAATGTGGTGTAGCTTGTGTGAACTGAAATTGAGGGTGGGCAGAAGAGTTGGAGTTACCCAGGCTTATTTTGGGTGTAATTCAGAGTATTAAAAAAAAAAAAAAGGAAAAAGCCTCAAAGAATTCTACTACTTAGGTGATATATGTCGTCACGCTACAGATATCAGACAACTTCGCTGATTTTGTTTCCCTTCTGGTAGAAGAGGAAGATATTGAAAGCATTTCTAAGTACGTTTATTTGACAGAAGCCACTGAGCAGTGTCCCTTTTCAGTTATATTCACTGAGAGGTGTCAAACGCATTAGGCCCCATGAGTAGGATGAGTAGCGCAAAGCTGATCCATGGGCCAGATGAGTAGCATGGTCCCAGTCCGTGGACTGGACTGGGCCTGCAGACTGGCCCCATGCACTGAATCCAGCACACAGGGCTAGTCCAATGCAGGCATTATATGTACCAGATCTGGCTGCTCATGCAGTACAACAGCACGCATGCCAAAATCCGGCCCACACATTGGTCCCAGTGTTTGCTGCATGTGGATCCAGTCTGAGATCCACGGGCAGCACTGTGGACCAGCTGATAGGGCTGCATAGGTTGGATCCAGCCTGTAAGCCATATCTTTGACATATCTGCATTACTCCATGTGGAAAACAGCAAAATGATTCTTCCTGTTGTGAGCAAAGTAATGGACCAACCAAGGTTTATGTCACATGAGAAACATGGCAGCTATTTGCTTCAGC